ATCAGAGTAATAAGAGCTTCGGACCACGAATCTGGTATCTTAGCTTCAGAAAGAAGTTCATTATAAAGTTCCAACATTACATTACCTAGTACTTCCTGCAATGTCTTATATAGCTCTGCTGGTAGCCCATCCGGTCCTGGTGTTTTACCATTTTTTTGTCTGTTGATTGCTTCTATCAATTCCATCATTGTTATTTCCCTTCTAATAACTTTTTAAATTTCTCCGGCATTTTAGGTATCTCTGTTTCTTCCAAGAATTGTTTTATCCTATCATCTGAAACTGTTTGTTGCTTGTATAAGTTCTCATAATATTCCCAAATTATTTTTTTCTTTTCTTCATTTCGATGTTGTAAAATCCCCTCAGCATCTTCCAATGCAGGCCATCTTGATCTCTGGTTTGATCCTCTATTTTCCTTGTCCATAAGGCCTCGTTGCTTCAAAAGTTCAAAATTCAGTCTTTGCTTTTCCTGGTCTTGCTTGTAGGGCAAAGTAAAATTCTCTTTATCCTCAGTTAGGTCCTCTTCTTGTATAATCTGTTTTGTTGAGTAGTCAAGTGCAATCTGAGAGTCAGTTTTAAGTTTTAAAGTAGAAATTCTGGCTCTTAGTTCTATAGTAGCCTCTTTTATTGTAGTACATATTTCTTCTTTAGCCTCATAGATCTTTTCCAGTATAGTTTACAGTTTAAGTGTGGTTGCGGCTTCTCCATTTTAGCAATAGTTGAAGAAAAATCCTTTTCCTTTTTAGTGAAAGTTAGAATTGAACATTATCCACCCCCACAGATCACACAGCTAGCTCAAATTATCTTTTCTCTTGAAAAACAGTTTGAAGGCCAAAACCATCTCATCTCCAGATAGACAAGAATCCAATATTAATTTTTGACCAGTAGGTGTCCTCAGTGAGTTAAAAAGACTTCTTCAAACGCCATTTTTCCTTTTTTCTATTTTTTAAAGGAAGAATAGAACAAGAAATACTCTGCCGATATAATACCGCTCCAAAAAACACAAAAAACAGTTTTTTCTGCAGCTCAATGTAAGTAGAGATAGAATATAGTCTTTAAATGAATATTTATTTGTTTTTTCTGTCCTTTTATAAAATGCATTTGTTCCCACGATTACCAAAGCCGCTTTCTCCAGACGGGGAAATAATAGCACAAACAGCTTCTACAGGCAAAAACAGCACGGGGTGTGGAGAGGAATAAAAAGGGTCTCACCTGGATCATCTGCGGTGGGTTTTTAACGCTTAGATGACGATGTGACTTTCGGCTGGTGCAGCAGGGTGATCGGCCATCTTGCAGGCCGATCTTTGCTCTGTCGGCCCTAAGGAGATAGCTGGAGACTCGGGGGAAGCTGCCGCCCTCCCCTATCTACCAGCAAGCCTCCTCCTTGGTGGTCACCCCTCCAGGGCGACTGTCGACCCCCTGGGGGGTTTATCGGTGAAGGAAACTCCGGGCGGCACGGAGACAAGTCTCCAGGCACGACCGGCGTCGCCGTGTTCCGGAACCGGAAGTCAGGATCGACTATTTTTATAATTCACATTTTACGTAGGACAAAAGACAGCTAGTTTAAGATCAAATACTCAGGTCTCAATTTAGGGTTACCATTTTTCTAATTATTTTCATAGTTCAAAAAAGAGCATATTCTAGAAATGAGGTTAATTGTATAATGTTATGTGAATGGCACAATGCACAAAATGTCTTTTTGCTGCCTTCTCACAGTGAAACTACCAGTGGCTCATTGAATTAGTTACCTTTGGATGCTTTCATCAGAATCAAGTGGGCCCAAAGCTGTGTTTCAAAATCAAAAGTCTTTTAGCAATCATGGTATGAAATTGAGAGTCTCCAGTTTCAATAACATTTATTTATATGTTTTCTGGCCTCTCTTCCTCTTCTACACAAGTGGCACCAAGAATGACATTGCCACAGACTTTAGCTGGGAAACACCTGTTCTGTTCTCCTTCCATGTATGCTACATGGACAGAAAAGTTTGGAATTGTAGTGTCAACAGAGCAAAAAAAGAAACTATCTAGAAATCTAGACAATCTATGGGAATCCATGGCTACCCAAATTAATTCTTGAATTCCTCAGTAGATATCATTTGTCTTCTGTTACTGTCTTTTCAGCCAGAGATTTTATAACCATCAATATTAATTTGTTGCTTTGATGTAATTGTCCGGAACAAAAATATTATATTTTTGTAAATCAAAGTATTAAATCAACTCCTGAAAATGAGGCAGAGAGTGAGGTAGGGAGAAACAAGAGCACGGGACTGCAAGGGAATTTGTAAACCAGCTATTCTTGGAGCCTATAACATTGTGGCTGCAACGGTCCATGGATATCTCTTTTACTGTCATCAGTGTTTGTGTTCCAGTTGATTCTATTATTTTTAGATTCTTTTAACTAAACATCATAAAATGGAAGTTACGTAAAGCTATGAAGCAAAATGCCAGCCTCCAGCATTATTCCTATACAGTATGCAAGAATACTTCTGGACTTTGTACTTTTACCTATTTTACCATAATGGGTAGAAATGATTTGGCGTTGCAGCTCAGTACTTCATTTCAAAATTTCCTTCTCTGCCCAGAACTTAAACAAAGTGATATGGCAGGATTTAAGTGGTGAAGAACTTGCTTAAATAAATCCAATGAGAGACAGTACATTAAATCCCAAGTCTATTCCGTTGTTTAACAATTCTTATTGTTAGAAAGTTTTTCTTCCTTTCATTTTTTTAATACCCTTCTAAAATGTGGCATCTCTAATTGAACAGAACAAGATCTGACCATAACAGACTGGAATACAATTATTGTTATGACTATTCATGATTGAAGTAGTATGTTTCTGTGAACATTCTTGCTATACCCAGTCTGAACTGAAGAAGTTTCTTGGATGAGAAGCAAAGCATCAAGGAAAAACAAAGACCAGTTGCCTTTTGAAAAAAGCACCTTTGGGACCACCGTAACCTGGATGACTGAGAATCTCCATAGACGTTCTTGCTATACTTTTTCACCTTCCACATATGAAGTTCTCATTAGAAGTTAGATCCATCCATGGAGATTGTAAGTAGAGCCAACAAATTTAATACTCTTCCCCACATGTTCTCTAACTAATTAACCATGTAGTTATGTATAAAAGAAGTTCCAAAGGAAATGTAGAGAAAAACTGCATGCATTGGACCAATAGGGAGCAAATTCGTATATCCTCGCATATTTTTTCCCAGGAAGCAACTAGAAAGGTGAGTATAACTAAACTGTGTGTGAATTGGGCAGCTATATAATTTTTTTAATAAACAAAATAAATAAACACTAACATTCAACGAGGAGTTGCTTCATCAGCCACCTAGACTCTATAACAAACACCAATAAAAACTTTAAAATAACATATGCTTTATTGAAAATCATGTTATGATAATGTATTTGCATTGCACTCATGTTGGAAGCTCTGAGGCGCTTCCAGGTTGAAAGGTTTAGCTGGTGACATCATCGTTGCCTGGGGGATGCCCAGTTGGGCGCTCCTTTCATGTCCCCACTGCAGCAAAGTTTGGGAGTGCACCCCACCCTACGGCAGCACTCGGGTGGGGCTTAATGCAATAAACTAGTATATAATAGTAATAGACATTCATTTAATTTTATCAAGATTATATACTGGTTTCCCTATTGGATGGTAGGATAACATTTTTCTCATTATAACATTATGCCTCTCTCTCATATGAAAAAACCTTCCTTGGTTAACATCAACAACAAATTAAACTTCCACATTTTGTAGCGCACTCCTTACTTTGTTAGCATTTGAATGAAACATGATAGTCAAGCTTCTTGTGTCTTCACTAATATACATCCTATAATGATTGTATTATTTCTGTCTATATAAAAAGGAATTTTGCCTTCTCTTCTTGTATATTAAATTTGTCTGGCATTTCTTTGACACTTCAGTAATAACAACAGAAAACTTACTTTTGTTTGCTCCTGTGTATGAGAAACAATTTTCAATAACGAGTTGCTTCAGCAGCCACCCAGTCTATATCAAGCACAACAACAACAACAAAAGTGAATCTAAGCCATATTTTAGGATAGATCCAACACTGGAGCATAATATAAACCTTTGACTAGGAAATCAACAACCTGCCTTTAAAACTGACTAAGTGACCCTAGCCATTCCTTTTCCTTCAGTCAAACTCACTTTCCGGGCTACTGTGAGAATGAGAGAATATACAAATATACAAAGGACATTGCAATATATAGCCTATTGTATTTAATTGGCCTGTAAGATACAATTCCAGAAGCGTGTGTACGTTTATTTAAGGAATTGTGGGGTTTTAAAGAAACATTTCCCTATATATAAAACCACATTCATTCAATTATGCAATATGTATATAACTCTGTCAACAAAGAATGTACTTCAGATGGCTAGTAATGCTAAGTGACAGTGGCACAATATTATCGAACTGGTAACTCTGCTTATTGTTGAATTTCCCTGTCAGTTTCTAAGGTAACAGTTTCTAGCACTATATTTATCAGAATGTTTTCCCAAACACCTCCACCAACACTTAATTAATCAAACTGTAACAACAGTTTGTCTCTAGTGATTGCAAATTAATAGCAAACTTATGTACAACTATTAAGAGAAAGATGACACCAGTAAAAGCCAATTTATTTAAAGACTTTTGCTTCATATTATAATAGTTTTGATTTTTTTACTTTTATGAAAAAAATAACCTAGCAATCATAAACCAGAAAGCACTAACAAATAACTGACAACATTCCAAAGAAATATCCTGAAGCAGAGAGATTTTGCAGATTCATTTTTATGCCAATATAATAAACCTAGAGAGACAATTTGTTGTAGTGGTTCAGGCATCATGCTAGAAAATAAGAGACAATAAGTTTTACTCCCACCTTAGGCACAAAACCAGCTAGGTAATCTTTTTCTCTGACCTAGGAAGAAGGCAATGGCAAACCACTTCTGAAAAACCTTGCCAAAAAAAACTGCTGGGACTTGTCTAGGTAGTTTCCAAGAATCGGACACAATTGAACAGAAGAAAAAAAAATTAAGCTTAGTTCGAAGTGAATATATACAAATGTACTGTATATAGATTAATGAGAAACTAAATTGTAGATTAAAATCATTTACTTTAATGTTTCTTAAAATGCAACTATGAAGACTGTTCTGTTAAATATTATTTTTCATATAAGACTCAGATTTCATGCAATCTAGATTCTTGAAAGCCAAAATAAGTTTTTGTTTTTTTTAAAAAGTCAACATTACCCAAGTCAGGGGTCCTCAACCCCTGGCTGTGGACCAGCACCGGGCCGTGACATGCCAGAAACTGGTCCGTGCAAACAAGCAAAGCCCCATCCGCGGGATGCAGGCAGTACATGAAACCACGCCCCCTCCAGTCTGCAGAAAACCTCTCTCCACCGAACTGTTCCTGATGCTCAAAAAGTTGAGGACCTCTGACCTAAATGAAGATTGAAGACCATAGAAACAGAAGAGAACTTAGACAACATAGGAGATGATGTAAAATAAACAACTAGAGCAATATTGTGCCATTGCAATACAATATCTCTT